ATGGGTGGTTAAAAGCCGCACAACAGTGCCCTCCTCATGAGGTAACACAGGAACTCACAGACACTCAGAGGAGAGGTCTAAGGTCGCCCGATGACCTCGCCACCCTGCACGACGAGAGGCCAATGACTCACCCAAATCCTGCATCCTCGAGCTCACGAACACTCGGGAGGAGAGGTCCAAGGTCGCCCGATGACCTCACCACCCTGCGCGATGAGAGGCTAATGACTCACTCAAAGCCTACATCCTCAAGCTCACCGACACTCAGGAGTAGAGGTCCAAGGTTGCCCGATGACCTCGCCACCCTATGCGATAAGAGGCCAATGACTCACCCAAAGCCTACATCCTTGAGCTCATAGACACTCAGGAAGAGAGGTCCAAGGTCGCCAGAAGACCTCACCGCCCTGCGCGACAAGAGGCTAATGACTCACTCAAAGACTGCATCATCGAGCTCACCGACACAAGGGAGGAGAGGTCCAAGGTTGCTCGATGACCTCACCGCCCTGTGTGACGAGAGGCCAATGACCCACCCAAAACCTACACCCTCAAGCTCGTAGACACTCAGGAGGAGAGGTCTAAGGTCGCTTGATAACCTCGCCACCCCACATGGTGAGAAGCCAATGACTCACTCGAAGCCTGCATCCTCGAGCACACAAACACAAAAGAGGACCGAGTACCTGACCAACCTCGACCAAGAGACTCGAGCGAAAAGGCCCAAGGTTGCCCCTCAACCTCACCACCCTATGCTGCAGGAGGACTATGACCCACTCAAAAACCTTGGTTCGATGCCAACAAGCACAACTCTGGCCAAATGGCCTAAGGGCTTACCATGGCCTAGCAAGGAGCCACAACAACTCCGAAAGGAAGATTCCTTGAGCTTTTATTCATGTTTCATGATTACAAAGCAATGTGTGGTTGATCCGCACACAAGGAACACAAAACTGATACCACCACACTCTAGTGGTGGTATCACTAAAAAAACCTCAGGGAACACCATCGCAGGGGGAGGTGAGACAAAGTACAAAATGAGCTCATAGGTCCTCCCGTAGTGTCATGGCCCCAAGGGAACAGAGCGTGAGGAGGAAGAGAGCAGCAGGATTGCCTAGCTCCAACAAGCACCTTGGCAACCACCCCGGTGCTAAGACAAAGCAAAAGGGAGGCCAAAGTGCAGCCATGTCACAAAGGCTGCACTGCCCCCTACACGACAGCCACGCCATCCTTTCCTCCACTACTCACAGATCCCCTTCTACCACCAGTTGTTGGAAGGGGCAACATTGGCTCCAGCCATCATAGGCGACCCCTAGTGGGATGTATAATGGGAACCACGTGGTTCTCCTCAAACTTCCTTCTCAACGTCCAGCCGCTTAGAGAAATATGGGAGGACTGGAAGTTATATCCATGAGTGAGTTCAAATGGTAGAGGACCTATATTTATAGGCCCAAAGGCGGACCAAGTAGCTTGACACCCCCACGCCGCATGGCAAACCCTAGGAGGTCATAAGCCAAAGTTAGATTCCCACATGAGGTCGGGGAAATCGAGACCCTCTAAAAAGCAGGGCCGGTACAACGTTGATGAGACCACTCGAGCCCCACCTGGGTCGCAAACCCCAAAACATGGTACACTAACGTGGCAAGGGTTAATAGTCATGTCCTACATTGTCAGGGCATCCTGACAGGGCAAAACACAATGGTCACCTACCGCATTGAACACACCAGCCCACAAGGGGTCGAGCAACAAAGCTCGAACAAGGTGAGACTACTGAACCCACGCACAAATATACACGCATCTCAGCGCCTTCACGATCACTTCAAGATCGCAAAAAAGCTTGGGGGCTACTGTCGGGGTTATAACCCTAGGGTGTCTCAAGGCACCGATTAGTTAGTAGGCTGCACGGCCTGCAATACACCAGCCAGTGAAGGCCTAAACGACCAAGGCCTAGCTAAGCCAAGTGAACCAGGACGGGCGCTAAGGCCAAGGTCAGCCATGACCCCTTCCTCCTATCTTAGCCACATGGGGCTCGAAAGGCGCACGACCTCTCCCCCATAATGACCCCCGGAGGGAATAGGGAGAGGTCAAGCACAGCCAGGCACGCTCATTCTGACAAGGATAGGCATGCCACTCTAACCCCACAAGGACCGAGGGGACAGCGGTCACCTTAGTCTGGTCAGACGCCATCCCTATGCCACATTACACAGACAAGACAACAATGCACGGCGGTGACGACTGGTACGGAGCCCACCATCCAGATACGGTCCGACAATACGAAGGTGTGACTCCACCCACTGGGATGGGATCCACAACGAGAGCCCTAACTTAGAGGCCATCCAGATCGGCGAAGCCACGACCCCAACGACTGGGATCATGGCCCTCAGCTCCTCTAGCCAACCAGGTATCAATGACCTAGGGATGGCTACCAACTCTTATACGATGCCTCGAGGAACAAGGAGACAATGACGAAGACCATGGTGGAGACCATGTCACACAAGATGGTAGGCGAACCACCAACATGCCTACAATGCTGCCACGGTAGGCATAGTAGCACCATGCAACACCATACCGCGACGTGGCCATAAGACCATGATGACAACCACGCCTGGACGTGTACCTCAAGATAGCGTAGCTTGCAAGCCAAGTTAGCTAGGCCCTCCCTTAGGCTCATGACCCTTCGGTCGGGAGAACCTCCTCCTTTATATGTGCCCTAGCCCCGAACTCTATATAAGGGCAGCCAGGGCATCCATCTTAATATGGATATTGTCTCCCATTTTATTCATTCTCCATCGTAGTAGGGCTCCTAGAGCTTTCCTCCGGGTAGTCCATCTCCTAGCTCTAGCTCCTCTTCCTCTTCCACCCTTCTTGCACCCCCATTGTAAGAACTTCAGAGCATTCAAGCAAGCAACACACACTCGATCATCTCTGAGACTAGACGTAGGGCTCTGGCCTAAACCAGTATAAATACTTGTGTCTTTTGGATGCTACCATCGTCTTCCTAGAGCAACGTGGCAATCATATAAGTTTACTAGTCTAGTTTACAAAACACCGATAATTAGATTAGTTATACAATATATTTTCATAATAAATTTATGTTGACACATAAATGCTAATACTATTTACTATAAACTTGGCCAAACTTGAGCTATATTGACTAGCGCAGATCCCATAATTGCATTCTTTTCTGGACAGAGGTAGTACTCGTCTAGAGCTTGGGCATCTGGTGTTGAACAAGGCTGCTTTATTTGTCTAGGTGAAAATGACTTGTAGAGCACCTTCATCGCAAGGTTCATCGTCACCTATTAAGTTCTTATTTTAGTTATGTGTACCCATATTTGAACGTTGTCGGTGGTACCTTGCTAGGTAGCATCAACTCATTTTTTCGCTAAGTTTTGAATTGAATGGCTTGACGAAATTGTGTTTTGGTAGGACATTTAAAAGGATGGCTTCTGTTGGACGATTGACATGGCAAATGGTCACCAATCGATGACGAACTGGTCGGACTAATTCAGGGAGTCAGCCTCCAAATGTAGTAGCAGGGCCTGAGGGTGGTGAACCGTCTTCCCCTTCCTCGTTCCTCGGCCTCCAGGGAAACGACGGGGTAATCTATCTTTGTATTTTCGTACCTGAGACAACTCTGATATATATATATACAACAATCTTATAGCCGAAGTATTCCCACCGAGAGTAACATAACAACCACAGCATATAGGCCACCTAGATGCTGGGCTAAGCGAGGGCCGAGCAAGTTGCCCACCTTGCCCAGTGGAACTAAACATGTGATCACCTTGGTGGATCCAGCCGGAGAACCCATTGAGCCAGTTGGTGTCATGGGGCCGTACAAGATGGCCACCGGGGTGTTAGTGAAGGACAACATACTAGCATAAAAAGGATAGCGAATGGGTGGTTCCATCCAATCTGATGGAACTTTGCTGGTAGAAGTTGAAGGACCTATTTGAGTTTCCTGCTAGATTTGATGAAGAGGTTACAAAGGAGAGGGCATTCCTTATCATGGGCAACTCATTCAAGTATTTTATTTACTACCTGAACAAAAACTATGTAAAGAAGGGCATCGAGCCAGAATAGCATAAATACCCACATCAGCAAGAGTATTGCAGTGATTTCATGAGTTGGAAGGAATCGGATGAGGCAAAGGCACAGAGTGAGGCAAATACGATCAACTCTCATAAAAATAGGATGCCACATTGCACCGACTCGCGTGGCTACGTGAGGAAAATCTAAGATTAGGAACAGGAGGAGGAGGAGCTAACCTAGAGTGGTGTTACGGTCTATACATCTGACTGGGATCCTCGCTCTATAAGGTTCCTTCTTGGGAGGGGGTTACCTTCAACCCAGATGGCTCCCTAAGTTATCAGGATGCTATAACCGAGGAACTAGCACAAAGGGTGGAGGCAGTCCCCGAGGAAGTTGCTAATGGTACTTTTAAGCCTAATAGGGAGAATGATCAACTGACCTGGGCACTAGGAAACAAAGAGCATCCTTGTCATACACGAGGGTTCGGACTTATTCCATGGGAGCTTTCCTTCCCAAATGACATCTCCACGTACAGAAGTCGTATGAGGAGGAATGCCCAAAAAGAATTGGAGATGCAACGTCTGATAGAGGCTGTTCGATAAGAAATGAAAGAAAACAATCAACATTTTCTTCAAAAGCTTGAGGAGAGAATGAAAAACTGTCCTTCAACACAAGATGAGGATGCTGCTATCAGGGTCATTAGCCCAGACTAGGTACAGAGTAGCTGTGGAAGCACACCGCTTCCTCTCAACGACACATGTCTCACATTCCCGTTGATAAGATCACAGAGCCAATACCTTGCAACCTATACGTATAGGAGAACTTCTATAAGACCAAGGTGGCACAAGGTCTTGCCCATCCTTGTGGCGAAGCAAGGGATGTGCTGTAGAACCATATGTTGCCTATAGGGTACTCCAAGGTGACCATTGATGCAGTAACTAAGACCAGGTACCGTGCAGTTGAGTTAGATCACCCAAAGGATGAGGATAGGAAGATACTGGGGGAGAACTTGGGTTGCCAAGTTTTTTGGCGCAAGTGCTACACATCCTTTGGCTTGGATTCTGAATTCAACGATGATATGGATGACGAAGACTCGGAAGACTCACACCAATACAGGGAACCAAGTATTTCATCACCGCTATGACCCAAGACTCGCAAGACCAGTCCATCTACTTGGACTACAACTCAACAATCTTAGAACTTCCAAGAAAACACATCGACAGAGGAACCTCTATGACCCAAGACTCACAAGACCGGTCCATCTACTAGGACTGCAACTCAACCATCTTAGAACTTGCAAGAAAACACAATAACAGAGGAAAACTTGCAGATGCTAAGCTTCGGCGGGATAGAGAGGAGGCGCCACCTGTATGGAAGTTTTAGGCTAGAGGTGATCTGATGGCTCCTAGAGAAGTCCTAAAATTAGGATCGAGAGGGCGGAAGGTGAGTAATTGGTACAAAGCTTAATGTAGTGATGGGTTTGGTGCAAGAATTTTGGATAAATAGTTTTACAGGGGGAAAAGATGACTCATTGTGGATTCAGTTCAAGGCATTGTCTCAATTTTACCAAAAGTTGGCCCTAGACATTCATATCATGAGCTTGTGGACCATGTAAGTCTAGTTAGTACGCCATGCATTTTATAGCTCCGAGTTGAGTTTCTAACAACTACACATTATTTTGTAGGAAGGAGGCAGACTTCTGCAATGCGCAATAGATTCAAATAGGCTTCTTGAACCTAGTGGTATGCAATCACGGGACACTAAAGTACACCAACACCATCGATGAATTGGCAAAGAGCTTCCATCTCAACAAATCCCGCAGCATACTTCTATCCTACAACTGCGTGTAAGTTTGTTGTAAATGCCTAATTTTCTACTCCATTACATATTTGAGGGTTTAACCTAGTTGGATCCGGCGGTGGCGTTGTGAATGCAGCGGCGACCATTATGTCCTTCTTGACATCAGCGTAGAGAGGACCACTATCAATGTTTACGACTCTCGAGGGAGCCAACTAGAGATCATCCATCCCTTCATTGAGGCGTTGAACAAGTAAGACAAGCTAGTACTACATTAGCAACGATAAGATTATTTGTTACATAGCTTTGATCATCTTATGTCACTGTCATGAACTTGTCGCACAGGGCCTATGAGAAGTTCAAGTCAAGGTCCAAGAAACATCATGAGCTTGGTAGATCTAGGTTTCGAGTAGTATCGGCCGGCTCGATCCAAATGCAGCCTACGGGCAATGATCTCTATGGGTTCTATGTCATGCATTACATGCGCAACCTCATCAATGCTCTCTCCGGCTCACAAGTTTGGCCCCTCAGCCCCTTTAGTAAATTTGGATGACCTCGGGACATACTTAGAGTGTGTATCAAATCTTTTCTTAACTTTGTTTCACCTTTTTCTTGTGTTCTAGACTGAAGTGTCATCTACACCAGAGCTGACCGATTTGGAGATATCTGGGTTCCAAGAAGATCTTTCTGGTTTCATTATAGACAAATGTAACATCCGGGCCTAGAGCTTAACAGGATTAATAGGATACTCATACCAATAAGTTGCAACTTCTTTTCCGGAAGCCCATCTGCAAATAACTCCGAGGTTAAGCGTGCTTGGCCTGGAGCGATGGGTGACCGACCGGGAAGTTCAAAGTGCGCACGCAGTGAGGACAAAGTCTTGTGAGAAAAAGACTGTGTTGGTCTGTGAGGGCGATCTATATCCTAGAGAAATTTGCCGGATGTAAGCGGGCCCGGCCTCGGAGAGGCGGGACGTTACATAATGGTATCAGAGCCGACTCTCGCGGTTTCATGGGCGCGTGTGTCGCAGTTGCGCAGGCATAGTGCGCATGGCTGGTGTGGATCCGGCGTGGTCACACAGCATGGCACATGCGCTGGCTCTGGACACATGGACGTGGCCAAGAGAGGACGCTCCTGGCTTGGGATTGATCGACGAGGACGTCGATCTCTTAAGGGGGTGAGGATGTAACATCCGGGCCTAGAGCTTAACAGGATTAATAGGATACTCATACCAATAAGTTGCAACTTCTTTTCCGGAAGCCCATCTGCAAATAACTCCGAGGTTAAGCATGCTTGGCCTGGAGCGATGGGTGACCGACCGGGAAGTTCTTCCCGGGTGCGCACGAGTGAGGACAAAGTGCGCAGAAAAGACCTGTGTTGGTCTGTGAGGGCAGTCTATATCCTAGAGAAGCTGCCAGATGTAAGCGGGCCCGGCCTCAGAGAGGCGGGACGTTACAACAAAGTTGTGAACCCCAAGGGAGTCCATCACCTTCTCTAATCAAGGTGCTAGTGTTCTGAAAACTATATATTCACTGTTGTTGGATGCCAGTGTTTGAAAACTATGTTTGTCGCTGTCGTTTTGTATGGATATTTGTGTCTCGGTGGTGATGTATGTTTGGATACAATACCTTGTCTCTGTCTATATATGTTGCTGGCGATGCGTAAGCCATGAAATTTATGTATTGTTGGTGCTATAATATATTGTGAACAATAATAATGCACAGTGGTAATGCTAGAGGTAATGGACACAACATTACTGCCGGAACAAACACAATGGCGGTGGTGATGCTGCCCCTCATTACCAATGGAGGGAACACCAGCCGCGTGCGATGGCACCTACATCACAGCCGGATGGTACGCCGGTTCGGCGTCGATAGATCTATTATCACAGTCGGATGGTACTCCGGTCTGGCGTTGATAGATCCATTATCACCGCCGGTTGGTATGCTGACCCGGCGATGATAGGCGCATCATCACCGCTGGATGGTGCACCGGCCTGGCGTCGATGGCTGCATCATGACCGCCAGATGGTACGCCGGTGGCATCTATGTTTGCATCATCACCGCCGGGTGGTACGTCAGGCCAGCATCGATGGTTACATCATCACCGTTGGATGGTACGTTGGCCCAGCATCGATGCTCACATCATCACCGCCAGATGGTACACCGGACCAGCGTCGATGGACGCATCATCACCGCCGGATGGTGCGCCGAGCCGGCATCAATAGATATATCATCACCGCCGGATCATATGCCAGATCGACGTTGATGGACACATCATCACTGTCGGATGATACGCCAGGCCGGCGTTGATGGTTACATCATCACCATCGGATCATACGCCGGGTCGGTGGTGGTAAAACACCATCACCACCGTATGGTATGCCAGACCGATGGTGGTAAAATACCGTCACCGCCGGCACGCAACCGGCGGAGATAAAGGTTGCCGATCACCGCCAACATACACCAATGGGGGCCAAAACCGTCGGTAATAGGGGTTCTGGAGCCGGTGGTGTTTAGCTTTCTATAGTAGTGCATAATTCAAGTGTGAAGTACACCAAAGTAGTTGATCAAGGCCACCGGATTATCCGATGTGACACTATGCTATACTATGTGTTAGGCAGTGTTATTCACCAAATAACCTAAACACGAGGGTAAGCGGGAAAAGAATAAATATAACATGCCCTACGTATTAGTAAAGCAAGGCCTTCTAGAGCCTATCTAACATAGACATATGTGCAGACGAGGACACTAAAATAAATAGATGTCGATTCAGTACTTAAATTGCATAGAAAAAGAGGAGTTCATACTTGATGAAACACACATTACTCAGTGAATGATTTAAAAACACTGTTAGAGAAATATTGACTCTTTTTCACATCTCTAACTATATTCTCACATTTTGGAACATGTGTGAGATCAAAAAAGCAGGCAAACAACTTGATGATAAGGTCAGATGTTTTCATGAGCAGTAAGCAGCCATAAGTTGGTGGCCCTTTTGGCATATTAATTCTTTTGATGGGGCAACCTTCTTTATTTAGTAGATTTGCTAGACGATATGTTGAAGGATTCAGACTGGATCAACAGATGATCTAGTATCGATATACTATGAAGATTTCAAGTTGGGCATGCTTAATGGAGTACACAGTATGAGCAATGGCATCTCATTGGGCCTGGTGGATAATCTGGTGGTATTATATATGGAACAACTAGTTCAACTTGGACATTCTTACTAATGTGCATTCTATGATCTATCATGGATCTTAGTGATCACAATATATCATGAGGTGAGGAATGTTCAAGAATATTTCATAGTGATAGCTAGAAAAATAGTTAGAATAGGGCCACTTGACGATCCGATGCTCCTTTGTGAGGTATGATGGATCATCCAGAGATACATTTCTTAGTAGCCTTTTTCAAGAGCTAGGACCTCACCCTTGGGATATATGTGTTCAACATAGTTCATTTGAGCTCTCTCCAACCCTAGATAGTTCCACATACACTTGGTGAAGGGTTTCAGAGTAGTTAAAATCTACAAGAAGAGTGATCTTAGTGTGTATCTTGTGCTCTTGACTTGGGTTCTTGATCAAATGAAAATTGAAGACACATTACACTTGGAGTTTGCCAACTCCTAGACGACATGGTGAAGGACTAGGTGATCTTATTGTTGGATTTGTTGGGAGGCTCATATGTTCTTGGTTTGAGACTCGCCAATCTGGAGTGGAGAATAGGTATTCCTAGTGGACCTTGAGGTTCTCTAACTCAAGGGAGCTTAACTCTTAGTGGGTAACTCCATGATTAGTAGCTAGTGGCAACTACTCGATACCATATGAAAAATTGGTTGTCTCTTGTCATTTCTTTACTTTCATGAGCTTTTTTATTGTTGCTTATCTTGTTATGTGCCTTAATCTTAGTCGTGTGAAGCTCTTCGTAGACTAGCCTAGCATGTTCTTCTAGTAAGTTTCTTTCTTATAAACCCTCCAACGATATATTTAGTGTGATGTCCATATGAACTTGATTTAGTGTGCTTGTGTAAAAGTCTCGGGGTTAGTTCTTGCTAGGGTTAGAATAGTTTTAAATAGGATAGGTTTGTCACTTTAGTTTTTAGACTCTCAATTTACCCCTTTCCTCTTTTGAGTCTATCTGATCCTTTCAACAGGTATTGATCCTTCCTCGCCCCCTATGCTACCATCCTCCAGCTGTCGTTGACCACTCTGGCCATATTATCCTCCAAAAACAACCCAAGCCCCTTGCCATCGGCTCCTCCGACCACGGTGACCACTAATCCCTTAGGTAAGTCCCCTACTTCTAACTCCCTAGCAGCTATGCTATTCTTCCCTAGTTTTGTGGGCCTATTGTCCTTAGCCTAATATACAAATCCACAAGCATACATATATCGATGTAGCTTTCACCTGGGAGTATTCCAAGATATCGATTTTCCTAGGAAATATGAAGGGCCTGTTTGGTATAGCTTATAAGCTGCTTATGGCCAAAATAAGCTAAAATCAATAGCCAAACGCCATGCTTTTCAGCAACTTATTCTAGCCACGCTTATTCCCATAGCTCCCATTCATACTAAAAAGCAGAAGCTGGATCAAACCAGTTTATTTTGACCGCCGCTTTTACTCTATTTGTGCAGCTTATCTGGGAAGCGCTTCCTAGATAAGTTGTACCAAATAGGGACGAAGTGTACTAATCTAGAACTAATTTGTTCTAGGGTAATGATGACAAAGAGAGAAGAGAAAGATAGGTAGGTGGGTGGAGAGGGTACTTGAAGGACAACACTAAGTTATTCTAATGAACTAAGCACATCAACATTTACTCATGTTGTTTAATTTGGGCACCTAGGACCAGCCAACTCACAGATAGGGATGAAAAGGGGTGGCAAGCCCACCCCTAAGTCCTACAGAACAGAACTAATGTAATGGAGTAGATATGGACAACTTGCTTGGTGAAATTAGATTATATGGGCATGGAATGTTGAAAGAAAATTTTCTAAACAAAGGTATTTGCTTCACTTGCTGTTTTTTTTTCTTCTTGTGCCTATATGCCATAGGCCATGGGGGAACTAGTGGCCATGCTACAGGGACATTACCATAGTCCTCCTTCATGGTCTCTCACCTAGTTTTTCGCTAATGGCAAAAGTGGATGGGGTTTTTGGAAACATAATAGACCCAATGTCTATTATTCTCTATGAGGATTGTAGTCAACTAAATTAATGACCAAATGTTTGTGAACATAAATGTTATTGCCCAGTTCAACAACCACTAAATTCAAAGTAAATATAAATAGTATATGCCAAATATATCAAGTATATATGTATATATTAGTGTTAAATATACATTCCATAGTTTATTGGTCATTGAAAAATGTTTCGTTAACAAATCACATACCAATAACACTTAAAATTCATTTTAAATTATATTAAAACTCCATGACAATACATTTTGTAAGTTGTCATTTATATAAGTTTATTCTGTCTGAAACTATTTACACCAAAACTTGGGTAGAAGAACGCGGGAACTCGAAGCTTCCAAGATTGTATCAATCAAGG